TCGACATCCATGCAATTTTTGAAATTCCTTGGTTTGTGTTTATACGGGTCCTCAGAAACATCGAGGAACCATCGACTGTGGCACGCAATGTGGCGAGTAGGACTCGTCAAGCTCATTTTAGAGCGGTTTCTTCAACGAATCCCTAGACATAATGTGTTTTATGCAAGCCTCAGCTTCTAGAACGGATCCGACAGCGTACCCTATCGAGCTCAGATCTGAAATGCTGTTCTACCACCGTTTAAGCCGACAAAGTCGAAAAAATCGGTTCTGCATCAATGCTGCACTAGTACTGAACCACCCTTGCCTCGTAAACGGGAGCTCCTACTTGATGGAAGGCCCAGCAACGATTTTCAAAGTGAAAATAAACTCAGGATAGCAATGGGCTCTGATAAGTCCAAAAGAGCCCCCTGATTCCTATCTCTCGTGACATCCAGTGAAACCAGCGCGTCAACTACCTGCAAATTCTATCGCACACAATCCTTAGATTGTTCGTGGTCGCCACAGAAACACGCCCTTCTCATCCAGAATGACTGCATTCAGCTCCTTGTCCCCTGTACCACTTGGAGCATCTATTGATAGTGCTCGGGTATACACCAAAACGATGATAATTGTCGCGTGCCAAAAACCCTCAACGTCGAAGTCCAATGATTTAGGGACGGTGTCAGTATCAGTCAACCGCTGCAGCTACCATAGATTTTGGTGGTTGAACAAGGTAAGCATAAACAATTCTACACCACAGTACCAAAACTAGGACAGAAGAAAACAGCATCTGTGAATATCAGTTCAAATTGTTTGCTCATGCGTTGTCTCCGTAATTTTGGCGCACCCTGTATAATCGCTGGAAATTAGAACGGCAGGCCAGAAGCAGCTTATCCACGCAACTTCTATCAAATGCGGCGGCCGCCGCGTCATTTCCGGTGACACTCCTGATAAGGCTTCGAGATAGTGTGCACCACCCAATTAAAGGAAGCAGTCACGCTGGCTTCCACGCTGGATTTGCTACCCTCGCGTTATCAATCGATAAGGTGTGAGGCAGTAATTGTTGGACGAGTGTAAGCCCATGGAAGATATGATACGATGAGATAAGAAGGTGCGGCTGCTTGATAAGAGGTGCACTCCAGAATGAAAACGGGACGATAACGATAACGGTATCATATCTAGCACGCTCTTATCGCACCCCTTTCCACATCGATAAGTCTTGGTTTTTGCTGAACGGAAGTGGATTTCGGCGCCTTATCACTCCGTTGATAAGGCGCCACTGCCACTGCACGTGTTGTAACACTGGGCAGGACCTCTATCCACTCCAATACATAGCTTCCCTTATCGTTCCCATGAAAATTATCGTGACCACTTCCTTTAATCAGATAGTTTCGGATGACTAATAAAAATTTCTAGTTCACAATGATGAATTCACAAAAGATTGAGGTAGGCTGAGACGAAAGCATCTACCTATCAGAATGAGTCATGAGTGATATGATGATAAATCTCGATTAAGTGGTTACCTTCGACAATTACTCAGAAAGAAACTCATGAGAAGTCCTGAATGAGTGATAAGTTAATGCGAATTTCTCGCATATACCTGTCAAAACTTGTGGAAACGTGCTTGACGTGTTCGTGCTTGAGATGAGCAGTGGGTAAAACCCGGGAGATGGTCATTAGTTGCAGCCAAGTCACCCCGGACGGCAGGAAATACCATGTCAAACATGTTCAAATAGCCACAACAAGTTTGTAGAGGGAGGAGTTTACTGCAATATTCTATATGAACAACAACCTTCGTCAGATTTTCTATTAAGTTCTATCGCGAGGCGGATATATCGCGTAAGGGGGGGGGGGGGGGGTTCAGGGACTGGAGCGCTTTTTGAAATTGGTTTGTAGCAATTAAAAGGGGTAGGCGCATAAAAAAGTGGGTTGCAAACGGCTTTTTGAATGCCAGCCGAAAGAAGTGGCTGGTCGGTTCATGTCGCTGGTGTTGTCGATTGGAGCCGTTTCGCGGGGCTCAGAGGGAAGGGAGGAATTTAGGGAAAATGATCGCTTGACACTCACTGGCTTGGCCCTAAGGGGGGGGGGAATGTGGAGGTGGGAGTGGTCTTGTATGACGGCTCCCTGCATGAGGATGTCCCACTCTCGCCATTGGCCGATGTCAGACTTTGCGATTGGAGCGATTGTGCACAAATTGCAGGAGCGACGGATCGCTTGAGCGATCCATCGCTGCGAGCGACGGGAGATTTACACGGCCGACCAACGATAATTCGGCGCCATCAGCTCGTAAATCTCCCGTCGCTCGCAGCTCCCTGCCACAACGGCCAAGGCACTTATCACGGCCCGAGCGACGGGAGATTTACGAGCTGATGGCGCCGAATTATCGTTGGTCGGCCGTGTAAATCTCCCGTCGCTCGCAGCGATGGATCGCTCAAGCGATCCGTCGCTCCTGCAATTTGTGCACAATCGCTCCAATCGCAAAGTCTGACATCGGCCACTAGCGCCATGATTGGATTCCTCATAGAGAAAGACGTTACATCTCAGAATGGCGAAGTAGTGCTGAAACAGACGTCTCATCGAAGATTGGGGCCATCAGTGGCCGGTATGTAGGGTTTCACCAAAAAGAAAAACAAACTTAGTTGCTGAAACGGCGCCAAAATTTAGCTGGCGGTAAAGATGAATGTTTCTGGCACTATCTTATCTTTGGAAGAATTTTTTATCAGGGAGTTTGTCTCTAACAGGTTCACCCATACCAAATCCAAATACATGGGGTAGCCATGTGATGCTTCTTGGAGACTACCGTAATCCACGCCTGATTTATTCATCGAATATAGTAGTGGCGAAATCCATCCTTGCTTCCTCATTGGGCGAAAAATCCAGAGGGATAGCAGTAGTGGCGATCTCTTTTGTGCCTGGAGCTTGCATAAAACAGCCGCCTCCTCCTCTCTCCTGTCAAAGTCTTTGTGGCCTATATTGAGTAAAGGCCCAATATGCAGGGAACTTCGAATTGGGAAATAGAGACGAAATACAATCCGAAAATGTTCGCTTGACGCCGATCAGTTTCCAAAAATTTGCCCCCTCCCTCCCTCGAAATTATTCTGATGTTAATCAACAAAATTTGAAACTATGGAAGTCTTGCTTGGATCGCGAGAATTCGATGTACTTACCGTACTAGATAGTTGTGGCCAGAGTCAACCCTGCGTTGCGCAGTTTTCTCAACGGCCACGTTGCGCAGTTTCGCCCGATTAGACACGTTCTCTCGCGCGAACATTCACACTCGCATGCTCGAGCCGTCTGCGTCTCCGCCCATACAGCGTGCGTTGAGGATCTCTCAACGTGCCGTTGCGAACTGCGCAACGCAGGGTTGACTCTGGTTTGGCCTCAAGTCACCAAAACTCACATCTCTATCAACTGATCAAACCACTAATTGATAATTGATTGACAGAGCTCACTCTTCGTAATAACTCATTCAAAAGACACCTTTGAATATGTATGAATATGAGCACAAATAATATTTGAGACTTCAAAATATTTATTAATCCTATAAAATATGTGATTCTGAAGGTTTCACCAATAATTGATAAATAAATTAAAAATCAAATCGACACATACCTTTGTATTGATAATCTGCCTAAAATCACAGTTTACATCTTCAAATCAACAACCCGTTTGTTCTTTCAGCAGCTCAATATAAATAATAGATGTCTAACAATAAGCAAATAAACAAGAGTTTGATAGAAAAAGTGTTCTATAGATTAAAATAAATTAAGTCTACAAATGATTCTAGTCTCTCATAAAAAATGACATCAAAAAGTGCTCAATTGGATAACGGCATCGTATGGAACGTAGGATTTTCCACGATTCGAGCAAATCATGAGGGCCAGCGTTATGCACAGGATAGCTGATCACTGTGCCTTGACCATTGACACACGGTTGTGATGGTTTCTGTAAATAACGTATATGACGAAGAGTAAGATTATGCCATATGGCTCACATTCTACACGTGAGTCTGAAGAAAAAACCAAGCAAACTATCTTTCCCTTCTAGAGTGATTTATTTATTTATTTATTTATTTATTGCACGCTTAGGTGCGCTACATAAATTCACATCTTAACATCAGTAAAACTAGGGAACACAAAACATTGTTAAGTGAACCAGCTAGGCAGCAGGCGAGATAAAGAGATGATTCTCCAGGACTAAATTTGGAAAAGCAGAGATGTCGATAAATGCAAATTAGGAGATTCCTGTAGGCCCAATTGAAGTTGTACTCGAACAGAAATGTGTTCAGTATTCGTCAGTCAATATTTAGAAGTCAATGGGCGGATAGCGCTAGGGATAACGCCACTCCTAGACGGGCACGAAGCATACGCATGGAATCAGAAACTGAATTTTCGGATGTTAGGTATTCCCTACCCCTAAGTTCAGCTTAGATTCAGATTGATCTATGAGCGTCTAGTACTGTTTCCCAGTCGGGCTTAGGAGACGAAAGTTGGAGAGATGGGCGCCGGACGAGGGGCTTGTTTCGGGAACAAGAGAGCACAGCGACGAAGAGACCAGACACTTACGCCATTGCCAAGCGGTGGTGTATCGTTGGGCGTGCGTGGATGCAAGTCATGTGTCCTTGGGCCTTACCACGCGGTTCGAGTTGGTTGCGAATGCCGCAGTATTTCAGCCAGTTAGTACCTAGCTAATCTGAGACAAGGATCGCTCCCAAAACTTACTATGCCTCCAAAAAACGGGAGATTTTAACAACCCCAGTTGTTTTCCACCTTCTTCAGTCTAATTCCTTTAGAGGAGCTGTCTACACCCCTTCCATGACTACCCCCTGTTTTAGAGTGGGATTGCTCCGTCACGTCACCCCCATTCACTGTGCACAGCATGCTGCCTTTTTCGATTCCCGGGGACTGGGGGCGGGGTGGGAGGGAGGAGGAAGGATTAGAGAGAAGGCACGAGAAAAGGGAACATCATCTGCAGCACCTCTGTTCTACTGAGAAATCGTGATTGCACAAAAGCAACCTACCAATCGATCCCAGAATCCGTTCCGTTCGTATCCGTACACCAGCTAGCCTGGCCAGAACACCAGTGAAGAACGCGTCCTCGACTTCAAACACCTGAAAATTACAATATCTGAAATGGTAGAACCTGAAAAATGCTAATAAAGCAGTAGAAGAATTCAAAGGAGGTCTGAAACTTCTAACAATAAGTATGAGCGAGAGTGAGGAAGGGAAGGAGTGCTCAGGGACTCTTCTCCAATACATTCCCCATATAGTATGAATTCGTTTTGTTACACAAAGAAGCTGCGTAATAGTAATAGAAATTTGACATATTTGATTTCACCTTGGCTTCCCACACGACTTCCATAAGTGCTGCCAACGCTGCGGGTGTCATGAGGTACGTTGGACCGCTACAAGTAGTCGGGCAGATACTCCTCAGGATACGATGACTCGGGAATGTACCTGAAAAATTGTCATCAATAAAAAAAAATTGAATCATTAGCCGCTAGTAAATGAGGTTACAAATAGGGTGAAACTCCAGTTCGGGGGGGGCACTCCATTGCTATCTTATCCGTAGTACTAGAGAGCAGTTCTTTGGGCTATCGAACACTACGGATAAGATAATAAGTGAACGACTCATTTCGAGCGTACTTTTGATAAGGACCGGTGGATGTCCTACATTCCACACTACCTGCCCACATCCCATCCACTTTTCTGCACAGGTGATCCACCCTGGAGCTCCTGCACCCTTAGCCCTTTGCGGAGGTGTCCTTTCTCCTGGTCCAGGACCGTTCCCTTGGGTCATGGCAGGCGGAAATGTGAAAACGTTTCAGGGTTTCTCACCCATTACACCAATATTTATCAGAAGTCTACTTTAAATGAGTCGATTACGTGTCGTGAGCCCTCTAATCCTTATCTTGAGTATTGGAGAAAAAATGGAGTGCCCCCCCCCCGAACTGGAGTTTCACCACCTAAATAGTGACTGAAAGTAGAAGAAATTGGTCATTCTTAAATATTGGGTTGATGCATAATTATTGCGGATTTTTTCAACAAATTTTATTCAGCGGAAACGATAAAAATATTTAACAAAAACATGTTTAAATGATTATTCCGGAGCGTAGTCACCATCCTTCAAGAATGCTTCCCATTTGCTTGGCAGTCGGTCGATTCCACGGGTGAAGAAGTCACGATTCTTGGAGACGATCCACGCTCTAACATCGGCCACCAAGTCATCCAGCTCGTCGTAAATTTTGTTCGTTTGCCAGTTTTTCAACGACTGATTGAAGTGGTAGTCTGTAGGAGCTTCGGTCGGTAAATATGGCGTTTTGAACCTCTTGAACCATCTTTCAACTTGGCTTTTGCTGATTGTTCCCTCGCCGAAAAGTTCGTTGAGATCGCGAAATGACTCTGCCGCCTTCCAACCTTTCTCGGAGTGGTAGAGCATAAAGGATAAAGCATTTGCCGTTGATCAATCCCTTTTTGGGATGCGGCACGCATTCTACTTCCATTTGTACATTCGTAGTGGCGTTTGAATGCGATGTGGCCTATACAATGACTTGCGGGGGCCAGCCGATGTACAAGTCAGTGTTTTTATCCTCCCAGACAAGTCTGGTACCAATTAACCGACCCCGGAGGGATGGAAGGCTTGGTTGGCCCGGGCGACTCACGACCCAGGATTTGATCCCCGGACCGCTCGCGTGGTAAGCGTGCCACTTGCCACTACACCACTTCCGCCCGGTAGAGCATACGTGGCGAATATGTAGATGATTTTCGATAAGCATTTATGTTAATGAAGAGAGAAGAATATTTTCATGAAAAATAATAAACAAAACGTCAATCTTCCCGAGAAGGGCGTGAAAAAAAGCCGCAATAATTATGCATCAACCCAATAATATCTCCTGAGGGGCACGTCCTGATAAAATCAAAGTCAGTACGAGCTCGAGAAAGATCTTTCTGCGTTTATTACCTGGGGCCCTTTCCACAACTGCAAATGGCAATGGATTAATGCGGTAGAGAAAAGGAATATTTTAGCATTGCGGACTTGTTCAGAATGATTAGAATGGAAAAAACTCCCACCATTTGCTGCCAGTTTCACGAATGGGGTGCGCACGGTGGTGCACATAGCATTTAATGGATCTTTCGTCTGGATTTTGAAGATGAGAGGTGATCTGGAATCAAGCACCCTGAGAAGTAGCGTTGAAGTACGCCACCAAGTCAAGGATTGCATTAAAACCTTGTCAAGGAGGAGAACCACGTCAGAGTCGACTTTGAGCACGAATTTGTCCGGATAGTTGGCAGAAATCAACCGATATGCGGCAAAAATCTGAAAATTAGAATAAAATAAATAAGAAAAATAAGAAAATAAGACCTGCATTGAACCAACTCCTGTACACACATACTAATACACGACATGGTATTAGCTTCATGATAATAAACATGGCAATTTTTGATAAAGTCTGGAAGTTGGTGAAATAGGGCACATTGTGGCACCATTCGGTATAGAAATCCCCAAATGGTCGGCGACTGCTGGAGGGGCATCTGGGCTTTTCTCATACACTAGTCCATTCCACATTTTCTCGTACTCCAGGTTGCTTCGGAACGTATACAGTGGTGGCCAAAAATGAGACTTTGCTAATGTCACATGTCAGCAGGCTTGACTCGCACAGCTTGCCGTGACGATGAAAGCCTTGTGGCAAAATATTCCTGAAATGCTTCGACAAGCCCCCTTTCGTTCCCCTCATCTTCAGAATACGACGTCATGTGCAATCGCTTTTGAGCTCGAGAAGGTCTTCCGTAATTACTACAGCCTGAAGCAGCTACATAATTTCTCCAATTGGTTCCTCTAGACATTCGCTGTGACTATGACCGACCCCTTACGGCAAGCGTTTCATCAAATGTCGTAATGGTCCACTATCCGTCGAGGACCTCTCTGAGCTCGAACAAAGTTCCCATGGCAAATTCCTCTGATGTCGTCGGTGTAGAAAGCTATTATGACATCAGTTGATAATGGAATGTGCTTTCAGTTTTCCGCTAAAGGAGCATTAGGTCTGAATTTAGAAAGTGCGATCAATGCCGTTTTCAGGATAGGGGAGAAGCCTCCTTTTTGGCACTGCTGTAAACTTCCACCGCGCCCCGTAGAATCAGTGCACTTTTCCAGGTTTCTAAGACCTGTGAATTTTTGTAGCAGGTACCATAGGTGGGTATCATATACACACATCTGTTCAAGATGTGAGTCTCCACTCCTTCAGACAACTCAGCATTCTTTAGACCATCCCTGCGAAAATTTCTGGTACCTTCACGGTGCCCACGGAGCCGAGATATTTAATTCAGTGATGAAAGCCGTCCATTTAGAGAGAACGCCCCAATCAATGCGGGTGGTCATATCATTCCTTAAAGGCAGCAATTACGATAAAGAGCGCTCCGGGGAAGCATACCACACGAAGTAGTTACTTGGCTGTCAAGGAAACGAGGTGTGCACTTTCACGACGAAAGATGCCCTGATTGCTGAGCAGGACTTTCAGAAAGCACTCCGCCCCCAAAAGCGATCCGCCCCAGTTTACTTGTTTTTTGGACAAGCTGCGTTGCCAGCAGTGGCGCAAATGGAGCATCTCGATTGAAGCGGATTGTGTAATGGTGCCATCAAACGCGTTGCGGTGAACTCGTTTATGACTCCACTTTCTGAGCTGCCCCTGTTCGATGCTTGAAAATCAACGGGCTAGAAAGGGGTCCTCGTTTCGCGCGTTTTATAACGGATTTCTCCGCTTTTTTCGCCACTGGCGTACAATTGAGCACCACCACGTCTCCTCAAGATCCTCTCAAACATATCGTGATCGCTGCCTTCAACCAGTTGTTCACTTTTGCTCGTTTTCTCGGTCTGTAGGCTATTTGGAACCAAGTACAGATGTTAACTTTGATAATCGTCATTTCCCAATTGTGTGAAGCTGCCACCCAGCTCATGTCGCGTCGGAACATCGTAGCCTTCTGTCAGCGTATGATTGCCTATACCGCTAAATTGGTTAACGCGTAATTGGTCCGGCATTTGCAGATAAAAAGATGATGGAAGTGACGGAAATATTCCTCAGGAATAAGAATCCCAGAAAAAAAAGCAGATTTTACACCGCGAAGGTGAAAGTGTTCAGAAAATAAAAAAGAAACACAAAGCGTAAACAAAAACATGATGATGGCGATACCTTGTAGACAAGATTGCCATATGAATCGGGTACATCAACTTGCAATATATCGTTGTGTTTTCGCATCTCTTCCCTAACCGAGAGAGAAACATAGCCGGTGCCTATGAGGAATATGACGGATACAGATTTATTCTGAAAACCAACAACATTCACTTCGCACATAACAGAAAGTAGTTCGAATTTGTTATTCGTTAAACGAAAGGAATTCTTCGATGAAAGCGTTGCAGAACGGAGATTTGCGCTCTCGTATGAGATTATTACTGTGGCGAAGCACTCACATGAACAGCTTCGGAAAAAAGCGCGTTCGCGAAAGCCAGGTTTGACCGAATACACATTGCGAATAGCTGAATATCAAACCCGTTTCGCTACACACGATCACTATGACTGCGACTCGTTTGTGTATTCCTTTGGAGAAAATGAAGTTGAAAGGCTGAAATTAGGCTTGTTAGGTCGATATTGACGACGGTAGAGACAAAGAACAAAACGGCAACCGACGGTGTGAACCACCTCCTTTTCGGGACGCGCCACACTTTCTAGCCCCATTCAAAACGTAATGGCATTCTGAGCAGTGAAAAGGCTTCGCGGGGTCCGGGCGTCATAGAAGCCCCTTTTTTATCCTCTCATGATCAGACAAGTTTGGTAGCAATTAACTGACACAGCGAGGGAATGAAGCGCTTTGGTTGACTCGCAGACACGCACGACCACGGAGTAATCTTGCCTACACTTGATAACTGGCCATGCTTGGGATCTGTAACACAATCCACTCACGATTTACATACACGAAATAGGGAAGCTGTAGTAAGAAAGTTCGATTAGGCGGCCGCTCCTCAACGACCTTTTCACTGAACATCAGCTCGTTTGAAATAAGACCGAAAATTCCTGAAATCGGCATCATTGGTAACCATAACTTGAGCCAATAAATCGCAGCTACAAAACGTAAAAATCGTCATCGGCAGGGTTCCAGGGCATCCTTTGAGGCCAATTTGAACAGAAACTCCGGGGAAAACGAAAGTTGATCTCGCACGCCTTGACGTCTCATCTCCCCCCCCCCAAGCCCACTGCCCTTTGCTACAAGATGAAGATGTATGGAGCAGTTTTAAATACGCTGTCGCTGCGATGCATCCGTTTCTTGCGCTCGTATGGAAATCATGCTTACCATCAGGGTGGTAATCTGTTCAGTGAGGGTAATAAAGGTCGTATAGCAACTTGAATGACCTGAAACGTATACAAGCTTTTGGGACACTTTTGGGCAGCTGCACACTAATGCATAAGTCGCTAAGGCCATGTAATCAGCCGAGGTATATGCCGAAAGTGCAGATTGCGTTTTGGCACAGCCAGCCACATCTTGACGGGTTCCTGCACACAATTCACGGCATTTTGTCCGCATCGTCCTAGCGCATCTATTTTCTGCTTTCGTGTGAATTCTCCTGACAAAATAGAAAACAACTATACTGTGGTTTACAAGCTTCACATGAGCTCTTCGCTACTGGGACCCTGTTCCTCAATGTCCGAATGTGGGCGTCAGGGTCAACCGTGCATTGCGCAGACAAAAGGGTCATGTTCGAGTCTATTCAGAGAGGGGGAATAGTATTAGGGCAAGAAGGTTAAAAGATTGCAAAAAGGGTCGTATTTTCGAAACAGGATGGATTATGGCGGTGGGAGGGGGGTTTATCACAATTTTGGAGAATTTAAAAGTAAGCATAAAGTGGTCAGTTTTTAGAGAATTTGCTGCTTCACTAGACGAAATTTACCCCGCATGGCAGTATTTTTAAGAAAAAAAAGGGTGGGGTCAAGTTGCGTCGACTTGTATCAGAATATAAATACTTTGAACATAGTAATGGTTGTTAAGGTGGTCGTATGGGATGAGGAAGGAGGACTCCTCTAAGGCTGGGTGTGGTGATGAAGGGTATCGAGACCCCTCTAAAGGGGAGGGGTATAAAATTTTCGAAAGCGGAACAGTG